ACGGCGGCGGAGGCGGCGGCGGGGAAGGCGGCGGCGGCGGCGGCGCAAAGCACGGGGCTGCAGGGTGCCGAGCGCAGCGCCAGCAGGGCGCGGGCCCCGCTGTCCTCGCCGACTTCGGCCATGTTCGCACAGCTCCAAGCGGCCTCCGGCGGCGGCGCGGCGCAGGGGGCGGGGCTCCGCGGGGCGCGGCGGGCGCGGGATCCCGGTCCGGATCGCGGCGGAGCGGAGCCTGCTGGCCGCGCTCCCCGCCCGCCGGTGCTCGCGGGGGCGCGCGGGGCGGGGTGGGGACGGTGTCCGCGCCCGGCCAGCCTCGCCGGCCCCCGGGTAGCGCCTCGCCCACCGCCCCCGGCCGTGGGCTGTCCCTTCCTCCGTCCCGGGACTGGGGCGGGGAACCCCCGAAAAAGTCTCCCTGGAAAGTTTTGATCCTGGGTCACTCACTGGAGAAGGGACAACTGACGTCAGCAGTCTCCGGGGCCCTAGTTGGCTCCATCCGCCAACCCTAAAGTGCGATACTTAGGCACCCAGTTTAAGGGGTTTCGAGCTGTAACTGAAGTTTGCCTAGAGATGCTTGTGATCCCTGATGCCCCGTGTTCCTTTTTGGAGTCATACATTCACTCAACAAGTATCTAGACAAGTATCCTGGGACCCATACTAGGGCCCGGTGCAGTCGCCTCCGGCCCTTTACACCTCTTACAGTCTCATGGGGGAAGGCAGACGCCTGCAGAGGAGTCTTCTGTGAAAACGCAGAATTGGCCACCTTAGGCGTCCTTCGGATCCCGCAATGCTTCATGCATTCCTAATTCAGCCAGGGCCCCCTACAAAAAGGTGGCAGTGTCTGCACACTGCCATCATTTAATAATTATTGAGCGGGAGAAAACAGACCCTCCCTGGTAGAGCTTACGGTGTACTGGGAGATGCGGACAGGAATCAAGTAACATTCTAATAAATACATACAAAATTACATCTGTCTCAAGTCCCGTGAGGCATTGTTGCCCAGTGACATGTGTAGGGAGTGTGGCCCCCCTAGGGTGGGAAGCTTGTCTTCGTACCCACTGTCCAGCCTGGGGCTGCAACAGATATTAGCCCAACTGTCACATGACTGAATATATAGGTACAAACAGAATTAGTGCTTGGGGGGCAAGTAAGACATTTTTACAAGAAGCTGTAACGGGAGAACCTACTTGAAGGTGGAGGAAGACAAAAACGGGGTCAGGGATCTCTTCCCTAAGGAGTGATACTTGAACTGAAGTCCAGCGATGATTAGGAGAGGGGGTTGGAGTCCGGGGATGGCATTCCAGCCAAGGAACAGCACGTGCTAAGGAACGGAGCATGGTGCCTTCCCAGGATTGACAGGTGGAAAAGAGAGAGTGACCACATCAGCTGAACAGCATCAGTCATGTAATTGGGGTCTGATCCCCAAAGCAATGGGAACCACTGAGGGGCTGTAAGCAGCAATGGCAACATGCAGACCCACACATCGGAATTAGGATCACTGGCTGTCGGGCAGAGCCTGAATCCGAAAGGGGTCTGCGTGATCATAGGAGGCCAGCTAGGAAACTCGTAGACCAGGCCAGGGGCTGAATTAGGGAGATGGGGAGAAGTTAAGGGAGTCAAGCAATATTTATCTCAGACAAAGACGTTTACAGACGCATTGCTGGCGGGAATGGAGAACGCTGCAGCCCCTCTAGAAAGCAGTTTGGTGGAAAACATACGATCATCTGTTTCAGCGATTCCACTTTCCGGTCTATACTCACGAGAATTGAAAGCAGGGTCTTTATTTGTTTTTAAATAAATTTGTTTATTTATTTTTGGCTGCGTTGGGTTTTCATTGCTGCACGCGGGCTTTCTCTAGTTGCAGCGAGCGGGGGGGGGGCTACTCTTCGTTTCCATGCATGAGCTTCTCATTGAGGTGGCTTCTCTTGTTGTGGAGCACGGGCTTTAGGCACGCGGGCTTCAGTAGTTGCAGCACGTGGGCTCAGTCGTTGTGGCTCGCGGGCTCTAGAGTGCAGGCTCAGTAGTTGTGGTGCATGGGCTTAGTTGCTCTGCGGTACGTGGGATCTTCCCCGACCAGGGCTCGAACCCGTGTCCCCCGCACTAGCAGGCGGATTCCTAACCACTGCACCACCAGAGAAGTCCCGAAAGCAGGGTCTTGAAATGACATCTGTACACTCACATTCATAGCAGCGTTATTCACAATATCCAAAAGATGGAAACAAGCCAAGGGTCCACCGACATGTCTGATGGGACATTATTCAGCCTTAAACACAAAGGAAATTCTGACACTTGCTACAACGTGGATGAATCCTGGAGACATGGGGCTAAGAGAAATCAACTGGTCACGAAAAGAGAGGTCCTGTATGATTCCGCTTATGTGGGGTCCCTAGGGGAGTCAAGTTCATAGAGACAAAAAGTAGAAGGGTGGTTACTTCCCAGAGGGACAGGGAATGAATGGGGAGTGAGTGTTTAATGGGGACAGAGCTTCCGTTTTGCAAGATGAAAAAGTTTTGGAGATGACGATGGTGATGGCTGCACAATAATTTGAATGTACTTGACGCTACCGAACTGTACACTTAAAATAGTTAAGATCGTAAATTTTGGGTTACGTGTCTTTTACCACAATTTTTTCTTTAAAGAGAGAGATTTACATAAAACCTCCAAAGTTCTTTCCTCTGGCTCATCTGGGGTGACTTCCCTCTTGTTAATGACAGGTCTGTTTGAGAACAAGAGGGATATATGTGCTTCCACGGCCCTCAGGCTTGACGATATTAAATGTGAAGACTTCTGCGCAGACTGACAGACCTGGACAGTTCTTTTCCTGACCAGCAAGAACCTGTACGTGACAATGGTAGGAGCTCCCAGGGCTGACTCATGATGACCCTGCAATCCTAGACACCCACTGAACCTTGCAGTTCCTTTCCTCTTAAACAGCAAGCCTTCGATACACTGACAGCTTCAACAGAGAGGTCCAGAAAGGGGGCAATAAAAAGCCATTATAGAACCAGAATCGGAGAAAGTGAATTCTTCTCATACTCTCTCCGGGTGTAGAGGGCCTGCTAAAGCTGCTTCACGATGCATTCGCTCAAAAAAGGAAAAAGAAAAAATTTGTGAGGGAGAACCCAGTCAACTGCTGGGAGCCCACGACACCCAGGCTCTTACCCTGATGGAAGCCTCTGGAGCTGGTCGCAGGAACAAAAAGGAACAGAATTAACTACAAGACACTAAACCGTTTACAAGAAAAACACACCGTATTGGGGGGTGACGATGAAGGCCATGTTAAAAAGAGGCCATGAAATATCTGGAGAAACAATCCATTAAAAACAAACACACGTGGGACTTCCCTGGTGGTGCAGTGGTTAGGAATTCGCCTGTCAATGCAAGGGACACGGGTTCGAGCCCTGGTGCAGGAAGATCCCACATGCTGCGGAGCAACTAAGCCCGTGCGCCACAACTATTGAGCCTGTGCGCCTAGGGCCTGTGCTCCGCAGCAAGAGAAGCAACCACAATGAGAAGCCCACGCAGCACAACGAAGAGTAGACCCCGCTCGCCGCAACTAGAGAAAGTCCGTGTGCAGCAACTAAGACCCAACACAGCCAAAAAAAAAAAAAAAAAAAGATAAAGTCTTAAATACAAAACAAAAAAAACCACATGAACAGATCCTTCACTAAAGATATAGGCGTGAAAAGCAAGCCCAGGAAAAGATGCTCAACGTCATTCATTGTTAGGAAGCAGGATAAAACCGCGCTGGGATTTCTGGGAAAATTGATGAGAAGGTCTGGAGTTCTCCCACGTGGCTCGCAGAAGTCAAGACGGTACTGCCACTTTGGAAAAGTCTGGCAGTTCCTCATACAGTTCAACTACCTTACCGAATGACCTGCAACCCCATCGCTAGCTCTTTATCCAAGTGAAATGGAAACTTGTGTGGACACAAAAACTTGTACGTGATTATCTGTAGTGGCTCTTTTCCTAAAGACCCCAAACTCGACAACCCAACAATCCAAACGCACCTCACTTGGGGAGTGGAAAACAAACTTAGGCACAACCGTACGACGGAACATCACGCAGCACTGAAAAGGAGCAAAGGACGCATACAGAGAACAACACGGAGGACCCCAAGGGCATCCTGTATGCTTTCATTTGTAGGACATCCTGGAAAAAGCAAAACTAGAGAGGCAGAAACAGATGAGTGATTCCAGGGGCTGGAGGTCTGGGGAGAGGCTAGCTACCAAATGACACGTGGGAATCCTGGGTGGGAGGTGATGGTTGTGGTGGTGATTATATGACCCCACGTATTTGTCAAAAGAAGCAGAACTGTACCCAGAAAAAGTGAATTTTACTCCATGTACCTTTCACTCTATGTACATTTAATTTAAAGTTAAAAAAAAAATATATATATATATACATCTCTAGAGAGTTTGTGATTATAGACCCAAAACAAGGATTAAGGGCCATATCGTCCAATTCAGAAGCCGCTAGTCACATCTGGCTATCTACACTTATACTCTAACGAAAATGAAGTAAAAGGAAACCCTTCCCTGTGAAACGTGGCGCGAGCCACATCCCAGGAGCTGGGTCTGGAGACCCACGCGGCCAATGGCTGCTATACAGAACAGCGCAGGCGAAGAAAGTTCCCGTAACTGCAGAAAGTTCTGGACAGTGCCGCTCTGGGGGCGGGGTGTGGCTGGGCTGCGTCTGCCCCCTCCTCCCTTCATCCTCCAAAGTCAGGGAATCACACCAACGTGGTCCGGGCAGAGCCGTACAAGACCTCCGCAAAAAGCGCCGATGGGGTCACCCTCCTGCCCTGAGCCGCAGGGGATCCTCGCTTGGCCTGCTGTTCCCCATCACAAGACAGGGGCCCGGTGGAAACCCCTCCACCTAGTCCTGGCTGGGCCTGAAGGTGGGCAGACGGGCTGAGAAGCCTCAGAATCTGAAAGCGGCGGGTCCGCACTCACAGCTTCGAGGGCCTGAAGCTCGACGTGCCTCTGGCAGGTGAGTGATGAGCCCAGATTCTCTGTGTTTCCAGCGCCCCCTCCTCTTCCTGTCTGCTGAACGTCACTTCCTGCTGCTTCTATATCCTTCTCGGATCCTCTCTGCATCCCCAATGCAGCTTCCTGTCTGCTCACTGAGTCCCTGGGGCGTTACATCACACGGTGATGGGCCTCTGACCACTACCGAGAAGGACCGCATTTTTGTATCACTACAGAAGATAGAGACAGACAGACAGAATGATCCTCCAAGAAACTTCCTCACCCATTTGAGGCCCCCCAAACCTGAGAGAGACATGGCCCCTGTGCCCTCAGCTCACTTGGAACAGGTGGGCTTTTCTTTTGCAGCCTCCCCTGGCCACCCTGTCATTTAGAACCGATCATATTTCTTAAACGCTAATTCAGGAAAAGACACGTCTGACTTCGACACCACAGGAAACTTGTTCAAACAAAGCCGGGGTGAAAACTACTCTTGACAGAACACTCGGGTGTTGGCGCTCAGGAAAAAAAAAAAGATGTTCTGTGCGTTACTCATCCATGGCTGTGTAACAGCAAACGGTTCCAAAACGTAGCAGCTGAAACCAATCAACGTGTACCATCTCACAGCGTCTGTGCGTCAGGAATTTGGGGGTGACCCAGTGGGGTGGTCCTGGCTCGGGGTCTCTCGTGAGACGCTGGCAGGGCTGCGTCTTCCAGACGTTCGCCTGAGCCTGGAGGATTCTCCATGTCAAGACAAAGTGGAACGAAGGTGCCGGGGGAGGGGCGCCAGCCCCACTGCTAACCAGCTCTGTGCCCTCGAACAAGTTACTTGGCCACTGGGCCTCAGTTTCCTCTGCTGTGAAATGGGCTTAGGGCTGTTGGAGGACACTGAGAGAGTCACTCCTGTGACCTCAACAAAGGCAGAGTGTTTTGTAAAAATAGACTTGGAAATAAGGAAAGCAAGACTCTTAGCCCGAGGGCCAGCTCCGCAGAAGCCCCCAGAAGCTGCTCGGCCAGGCGAGCCTCACAGAGGATAGAAAGAATGCACGATGCCTGTTTTCCTCCCCTGATGGAAGGAAGCTCAAGGGGATTTGGTTTTTTCCTGATCTTTACTGTGAAAACCTGGCAGGGCTTCGAGTGGTAAAACTCATGGCAGTGTCAGGGCCCCCAGGACGGGCCCCCAGGGGTGTGTGATCTGTCCACCCAGCCCTAGATCCCCCCCACCGTTTCCTGTTCTCTGGCTTCGTGCATCGTGACTCTGCATTCGTCCGTCTGTCCAAACAACCTAGGGCGGTGGTTTGCCCTGTGACCTCACTGCCCTGGCAGATCTAAGACGAGTTTTGATTCTTCAGCTCGTCTAGCTTTTTTCTTGCGTGGCTGGGAGTGGTGTGTTATGGACCAATGTAAGCTCCGTGCGTGCAGGAATGGAAACAGAGGTCATTCCAAGCAGTAATTCAGCAGCTCTGTTTCTGCTTCTCCGCAAAGGTTTTTGTGCTGTTATTTCCACCACAAATAGGCTCAATCCTCTAAGCGCTCAGGGGCCCGCTCTTCTGGAGAGACATCCGATGGGCTGCATAAATCACCTTTGTACCCGGTGAACAGGTCACGCCAGGTTTTTAAATCAGCGGCTTGAAGTCAGGCCCTCCGAGTGCCCAGTCAGTGGTGTCATCCCAGTGGAGGGTCCCCACTGCAGACAAAACCAGCCCCTGACTGATGAGCCACTGGGGTTGTGCCCTCGGCGGGAGCCTTTGCTACAATCCTGAGGATGCAGCTGGGCAGAAGTGACGGTCCTTCTAAGGCTTCACGATCCAGAATACACGCAGAAACCCCAGAGGGATAATTTATAGCCGCTTTATAATTTATAGCTCTTGAGCACTGGAAATGTGACTCAGCCAAAGTGAGATGTGCTATCCATGTAAAACACACTACACACCGATTTCAAAGGCCTAGTTAAAAAAAAAAAAGGGCAAAAGGTTATTAATAGTATTTTATATATTTATATTGGTTATAGTTTGAAACGATAATTTTTTGGATATATTGGGTTAAATAAAGTGTACTACCCAGATTAATTTCACCTGTTTCTTTTTACCATCTTAATGCAGTTACTAGAAAATAAAAAATTACCTCTGTGCCTCACATTTGTGGCTTATATTATACTTCTATCAGACGGGACTGTTATAGACCAAGGTAACTTTTTTGTCCCAATAGATGTTTCTGTCTCAATTATGACGGTGCTCTGAGTTTGTGTTTTAGCAGAGCTCGGGCTGACCCCTATCAATCTGGTGTCTTTGTATCATGTGGATTCCTTCCTCTTTGGTTATCAGAGCACTTTGTGGGAGTTTTAATGTCCAAAGGGTCTGTGTTTGTGGCTGGATCAGACAAGGGAGGTGGACAGATTTAAAAGCGCACATCGACCACTTGGTGAGCTTCGCTGTCTCCGCCACTGGGTGCTTCGGTTTTCTGCCACGGAAACCGACTCTGGCCAACTTCAGCAAAAAGGGAATGTGTTGGCATGATGCTAGGTTGATCACAGAACTGGAGAAAGCCGAGATCCAGCTTTCAGAAAGGTCTGGAGTCAGAGCAGCCCTAGGGATTTAGCTGCAAAAACCGCAAGGCTGGTCTCCCAGGATGCCCGCGCTGGGATTAACCAACTCCAAGCTTTCCCCTTTCTTGCATCATTCCATAGGAGATTGGAATTCCCAGGAGAAAGCAGCTGACGGGTTTAGGGAGGTTCTGTGCCCAGGCCTGGGCCAAAGGAGCGCAGGCACCAGGCGGGGCGGGCCCTGGAAGGCGTCATGCAGCCCATGCTGTGGGGCTGGCCCGTCCACGAAGCAGTCTGGTTACTGTTAGCAGAAGGGGCGGGGACGCAGAAAAGGCAAACAATAGATGTCCACCTCCTCGTTCCAACTGGATTTCGTCAGGGACCCGCCAAGAACTCAGCCAATTCAGCATTTTTTCAAAGACTCTTAAGCTCATCTTTTAAAACTTTTAATTGTGGGAACGTTGAACACATAGACAAAAGAAGACAGAATAATACAACATACCTCCATGTACCCAAAACCCAGCTCCAGCGGGGATCCGTATACACAGCCTTGTTTCATCTATGAGCCGCCCAAATCCTCTCTTATCATTTTGAAGCCAATCTCAGGCATTATATCATTTCCTATAATTCAGTGCGTATCCCTAAAAGATAAGAGTTGGTTTTAAAAAAAATCACCACAATAATCCATGAAAGAATCCTAATCCTGCCTTAACAGTATACAATTTTTGGCCAGTGTTTAGATTTTCATCTTTTCATAACCTTATTGAGGGATAATTTACCTCAATTGAGGTATAATTTACATACCACAAAATTCACACACTGTAACGCACAGTTGGACAAATTTTCGGAGAATTGCACATTTGTTCAATAATCACCCCAATCCAGTTTTCAGAATATTTCTGTCACCCAAAAATTTCCCTCACGCCCATTTGCAGTCAATTCTCACTCTGACCTTCAGCCTCAGGCAAACACAGATATGCTTTTTTCTCTATGGTTTTTCCTTTTCTACCAATTTCCCATACACAGAATCACACACTATGTGGTCTTTTGTGTCTGGTTTCTTTCACAAAGCGCAAGGTTTTGGGGTTCATCCATGTTGCACGGATCAGCAGTTCATCCCTGTTATTGCTGACAATGCTTTGTTGTATGACTATACCACCGTTTAAAAAAAGAAGTCAGTCCACAAGTTGAGAGACACACGTGTTGTTTCCAGTTTGGGTTTTAGTAAAACTTCTGCTATAAACTTTTATGTACTACTTGTTGACATGTGTTTTCATTTCTCTCCAGTAGATTTATAGGGGTGGAATTGCTGGGTTACACGCCGAATGTATACTTAACTTTTAAAGAAATTACCAGACCGTTTTCCCAAGTGGCTACAGAATTTTATGTTCCCAACAACAAGTGAGGATTCTCTTAATCTCTTTTAGTCCATGTTTTCCCTCCACCTCCTTTCTTCCCCCTTTTGATTTATTTTTAAAAACGGGGTCACTTGTTCATTAACGTTTCCCAGAGTCTGTTTCCCACTTTTGCTGATTGCATCTCATGGAATCTAAGTTCATATGAGCTAAAACAAACAAACAAACAAAAACAAGATTAAGCCGCACATATAGTCAGTACACAAAGTGCAAACCTTAAAGTTTAAGAGAGTTGGTAGAGATAAATCCCGGTTTTAATTCTGGGCTTCCTAACCGCCCAAAGAAGGAAGGAGGTTTGGTTACAAGAGTCACTGTCCATAAGATAAAAACAAACTGATTGCTCTGAGGAAGCTGGCTTTTTCCTGCCAGAGACGAAAGAGAAATTTCCACCATCATTCCCTCTTCCTTATTAGGGACGTGGTAAGAGTTCGTGGGGCAGCACCCTGACTGGTGACCCAGCCAGTGCACGACAATGTTCTTTGTCGGGGGATGTCAATGATTAAAAAAAAAAAAAAAAAAAGCCAGTAGGCTCCTTTGGGATCTGATGAGGTAACATAACAAGTCAGACTCCCAATTCCAGGTCAAAAAAGGCAACTTTTAACCACAGAATTCAGGTCCTCACCTGAGTGTCCATCATCCAAGCCCCAGTGCTGTGTTGCTGGGAAGAGAAAGAAACATTGTTATAACATAAAGATAACTCCCAACAAAGTACCTACTATATTAGCTGCCCTTTCAGGTCTGTACCAAACCTCCCCACAAAACACAAAAATACACAAACAAAAACAACCCACTGTCAATTCATCTTTTTTTTTTTTTTAATTCATGTAGAGTTGATTTACAATATTGTGTTAGTTTCAGGTGTACAGAATAGTGATTCAATTCTTTTTGATTCTTTTCCATTATAGGTTATTACAAGATATTGAATATAGTTCCCTGTGCACTAAAGTAGGTCCTATGTTGTTTATCTATTTTATATACAGTAATGTGTACCTGCTAATCCCGAGCTCCTAATTTATTCTCCCCATCCCCCTTTCCCCTTTGGTAACCGTAAGTTTGTTTCCTATGTCTGTGAGTCTGTTTCTGTTTTGTAGATAAGTTGATAAGCAGCCTTTAAATGCAGATCGTAAGCACAGTCCTCTGTGCCCATTCTCTCACCCTCAAGTGACAAACGGGCAAGTGTCTGAGATGTAGGGGGACAATGCCCAGCAGATAAGTGGCACCTTCCTGAGGAGGGTGACTTCCTTGACCAGCTTCCCACGCGGTGGACCTGCCTCTCCCCACGAGGCCACATTTGGCCAGCTTATCTCGGAGGCCCAAGAAGAGGCCCCCCCCCCCCCAGTAAAGGAGACGTTTGGCCCTGACCTTGCTTGTTGCAAACCTGGCTTAGATAAACTCACGTCCTTTGCATCCTGTTTTTCTTCTAAGTGTCAGCTGTACATCAGGGTCCATCTCAGCAATTTTCTCTCCCTCCTTTCTCACTGCCCACGTCATGCCTTGGGGGTCTCCACGGTGATGAAGGGCACTGGACAAGAGCGACTTTTCACCCCAAGAAACTTGAACATGGAGTTGCTGGCTTACTTGAAGCCTCACTGTTTATTCCAAGTCCGGACTTCCCGGCAGGAGCTAAATAATTTCAATATCTTATATTTTTGTAGCAATTTATAAATGTAAGATGTGAGAGAATGAATTCAAATCCAAGCCCCAGGAGGGCGGGGACCGTCTTTTGTTTGCTGTGGCTTCCCAGCACCCATAACAGAGTTCGTGCTCAAACTGTTGTTTGAATGGATGCATGACTATGAATGTACAGCCATTCTATGGGATGTAGGAGATGTCCCTGTGTTTCTACAAAATTTAAAAATAATTCTTTGAGTGCAGAGGGGGTGCAAAACTCAGTTTCTCTCTTGCTGGCGTCCTCCCTCTAACCCGGAGGTATGCAGAGGCCTAGATGTCCCGCAGGAGGGCTCAGGCCTTTAGCCCACACTGAGCTTTGCTGATACGTCCTTTGACCAAGACCAATGCGCTCAAGGACCCCGCAGCTTTGTGGCCAAAGTCAGACACAGCAATTTCTGCAAGGCTGGAGGCCTGGTTTGTGGGGTCCAACCTTCGCATGTGCGGCCCTGATCCCTTCTTGGGGCTCTCCAAGAGAGCAAGACTTGGGTCCCCGTGGCTCACAGCACCCCAAAATCTGGCACCTTCCTTGATCTTGGTTTGTGACCCCTCCTCTGGGAGGGGCTGGGAGCCACCGCTTCTGGGAACTTTTCTCTCTCCTTCTCCCTCTTCGGAGGCCCTAGCATAACCCCTCATTGAAAACTTAGGCTTCACTTCTGCAACCCAAGCTCACCTAGAACAAGAGGACACAAAGCCCGGCTACTTTCAAAAATAAACACAGAGAGGACAAAAATACAAATTTATATATCAGGAAACATCCTGCCGCAGACATTTTGAGGAGCCTGTCTTCATGTCTTATCATTTTCAAAGTTGCTGTTGTTTTTTTAAAAAAAATCTGATTTGCTTGCAGAGGCCAACACAGAGGGAGGTGTCACCAGTTCCATTTTACAGGCTGGAGGCTGAGGTTCCAATAGGACTGGTGAGGTGCCCTCGCCTTGCAGAGGTGGGCCTGCAGCCCAGGGTTCTCAGGGTCTTTCCCACCCTCATGAGGGGATTAGAGACTGCTGTCATGGCCACGCAGACTTGAGTCTCATCTAAGCTCACAGAAGCTGCTAGTGAAACACTGACCAGGCTCGTCCCAGCAGATCTTCCCCTACCAGAACCCCAGCTCTCCCTTCTGGGTCACAATTTACTTTAGTTGACATTTATTGAGCACCTACTGTGTGCCAGGCACTGTGCTGGGAGTCTTGGGTATATTATTTAATTCTCCAAGCAACCCGGTGAAAGGCGTTATTAGCAGCTCCATTCCAACAGGGCCCAAAAGTGAAACTAAGATCTAGAGAAGGGAAATGACTTGCCTGAGGGCACGCTGCTGGTGGGACGGGCTGAACTGAGGCTTAGCTCTCAGGCCATCTGATGCTAAAGCCCCCTCCAGCTCTTGGTACTCCCTGCTCTTTGCAAAGGGATGGAAACAATTAATTGGAGGAGAAGTTACTAAAATACTTAAGCAAAAGCTTTCCCTTTGTACTTTCTACAAAATGCTCTGTAACGCATGCAGTTGATACTATGCCTGTGTCCTCAGGTTAATGGAGCTGACGGCATGCGGGTGTGTTGGGTGCATGGACAGGCCCTGGAGTCAGAGCCCCTTAGGGTCCAAATGCAGCTCCAACACTTAGTAAGTGCAGGGCCCTGGGCAAGGCACTTAGTCTCCACAGGTCTCAGTTTCCCCTCTTCACACGAACCTCCAGACCACAGGAGGGCCGTGCGTCCAGGGCATGGTGCGCAGCCCAGAAGGTAAGCAAGCTCTCCACACGTGCTACTGAGTGTCAGGACGACCCAGACTCAACTGCCATTCAGAACTGGGCAAACGCGGTTCCTTTCACATGGCTCAACCTAAACCTATAATCGAAACTGAAGTTGAGGGTCTTCCCTGGTGGTGAAGTGGTTAAGAATCCGCCTGCCAATGCAGGAGACATGGGTTCGAGCCCTGGTCCGGGAAGATCCCACATGCCACGGAGCAACTAAGCCCGTGTGCCACAACTACTGAGCCCACGTGCCACAACTACTGAGCCCACGTGCCACAACTACTGAAGCCCGCGCGCCTAGAGCCCGTGCTCCGCAACAAGAGAAGCCTGCACAGTGCAACAAAGACCCAACGCAGCCAAAAATAAATAAATAAATAAATATAATTAAAAAAAAAAAAAAAAGACTTTGCCTTCCAATGCAGGGGGTGTGGGTTCAATCCCTGGTCGGGGAGCTAAGATCCCACATGCCTCGCAGCCAAAAACCGAAACATGACAGAAGCAATATTGTAACAAATTTAATAAAGACTTTAAAAAATGGTCCATATCAAAGAAATCTTAAAAACAAAACAAAACAAAACGGAAGTTGAAACAAATAGGCCCAAGGGTGGGAGTTGAACTGGAAATCTTCAGAGCTCCAAACAGGGAAGAGGATGAAATAAAGACAGTGAGAGAAAACGAAACTGGGCTTCGGTGACTTATGCGCTGTAGGTAGGAAATGCTCATTTCTCATTCTGCTCTAGGTATATACATTCCTAGTTTTGAAGTCGGAGAAAAGGAAAAAGCAAATGTAGCTTCCCACATCTATGGGGAAACCTGTATCCGAGAGAAGGCAAGGGAATTCAAGAAGTCCTAGCTTTCAGCCCTGCTCCGGCCGTGTGTAAGAAGAGCAGTTGTACTAAACACACACGGCGCTAGGGTGAGGGAAAGCAGAAGAGACGCGGCCTCCTGTTTCGGGTGGACCTTGCGGATACCTGAGCATCATCTCGTCCCTACGCAGTTTAACCTACCCATGCTTCAAGGGAAAGAACAAGTTGGCTACGAGAGTCTTACGAAGTTTAAGTTAATCGAAAGATTAAAACTTCAGGACACAATGTCGCCTCCCTCTTTTTATGTTTTTTGTTGCCATAAAGAACGGGCGGCGAGCTGTTGAGATTCAAGTGAGTCAGCATACTGACTTACCGGCTTTGAAATCCTCCCTAGCAAGTGTTTTCCTACCAAGCCAAGAGTAGTAAATGCAGGTACCGAAGGATATTTACAATAAACCTAGGATACGATAATTACCATCTGAGAAAAGCGCCAAATACATATAAGATTTATTAAAAAAGAAAAGAAAAGAAATACAGGACCCAAGATTCCTGAACCCCTCTCAAAAGTAAGCACTGAAAACCCCGATTCCCACTCGTGTAGAGCCTTATTGGACTGTAAACACAGAAAGGAAAATAGAACTTATGTAAAACTGCCACGTCTCATGTGGTGGAAGGGGTCACTGCCCAGCCCCTCGGCTATAGGATTTAAGTAGCCCCTGAAGATTTGAAACACTGAAGGATGGGTGTGATTCTCCCCTTCGGGCTGCCAGAAGGGAATCACTGTTTGAATGAGGAAAACAGGCAGCATGCCCTAAGGGAGACCACCGTCAGAGGACCGGCTTCTCGTCACAACCCTGATGACAGCTGTGTCTCAGGCAATGCCCGCGGGTAGTTAGTGGTTACAGCCTGGAGTTAAAAGGGCAAAACCACCAGCAGCCTCCCCTATGGCCATTCTGCCCTTTTCCCTAATTTTTCCTGGGATGGTAATGAGCCCAGCTAAAAAACTACATTTCCCATCCTTCCTTGAAGCCAAGTGCGGCCATAAGACATAAGTAGGGTTAATGCATTTGATGAAGACACAGGGTTTAGGACGACCAACTCATTGCCTATACGTTCTGAATTTCAGCCACGAAAACCCTGCATCCCGGGAGGCTCCTCAGCCCTGGACAAACTGGGACGGCTGCTCATCCCAGTCGAAGGCTCTGTGAAAGGCGAGATGGCAGGTGGCACGTGCCGGCTCCCGTCTGCCCGTCCCCTCTTGATGCACGGGGTGTGGACTCAATCCTAGAGGTGACGATGAATCGACAGACATGAAGACAAGAGCCACCAAGGTATGTTAGCAGCAAGAGCTTGACAGGAAGAACCGTTAACTAGGTCCAAAGCTGTTACAAGCTAACGGAAAGGGTACAAAGAGAACTCTGTCTCTTGGAGGTCGGGAC